AGTGTTTAGGGGGGGGGATTAGGGGTCAAAACATTTTTTAGTGTTTAGAATTTTAAGATATATGCTTTATAAATCTATAATTAGTGGTATTTTTGTAAATGAACACCCCTAAGTGGTATTTTTGCAAATGTGCACACAAAAAGTGACATTTTTACAATTACCCATGTTTTTTTGTCTCTATTTATTTGGTAAGTAACTAAATTACTCTGTTTTGTTTCTATATATTTGGTAGCTAACCAATTTTGGACGTTATTTGCTTTATGATAAAAAAAAAATTTCTACAAAAAGAGAATTGGAAAACTCCAAAATTTAATTGTTAAAAGTAGAACATTTGGGATACGGTCTTTTTTAGATCAAGATAATTTATTTTTTGGAGAACGGATATAGCAATTAAAGAGTCATGCTTGATTTCTTAAAGCGAAATACTACAAAAGTATTTCTAGACAAGAGTAATAATAACAAACTATTTCAGAAAATTTTAAACACTTCTTTCTAAAATGTTTGTCAACTGTTGAAGCACAATTTCTCCAACGTCGTCGAATATAAATTATATGCAAGGAAAAAAAAAACATAAAATAAATGTTCAGCTAATGCGTGATCCGACATACTAGTAGTATTAGTACACGAGTTTATCTTTGGATTTTGTTTAATTATTTGGTGTTTAGAATGTTAAAAAAACTATCGTGATTTGCGTGAGATTAGCTGAATCAGTCTCGTGATTGGTCCAATTCCGAACATACGTTATGAAAAATGGCCTGACCTTGGCCGGCCGTATCGTTGTCTCCCATTTCTTTGACCGGTCAACGTTGACTCCGTTAGTTTAATCCGTTATTAACTCCCCCGTTCCGTCTTCTCTCCTTCACGAGCCGTCTTGTGTCTGTCGTGTGTTCTCCATGTATCTCCACGTGGCGTTCCAGTTAATTGGGCTTATACAATCCTTCTAAAAATATATGGGCCTGTCCCAACATTTTAAGCCCATTAATAAAACGAATTTGTTGGTCCCAACCATTCGAGCCCATTAATATAAGATTCGTGATCGTGTTGGTTTCTGCGTTTGACATTCTCTTTTCCCGGCGAGAGAGAGGTGGTGGCGATGGAGTCGGTGAGGACGAAATGGATGGCTATGGCGGCTAGTATATGGATACAGTGCACAAACGGCGCTTCTTACACCTTCGGAATCTATTCCGCGCTTCTAAAATCGACTCAATTGTACGATCAATCGACCCTCGACACCGTCTCCGTCTTCAAGGACATCGGGGCAAACGCCGGAGTTTTCTCTGGGCTTCTCTACACTTACGCTACCTCCAATAGCCGCCGTGGAAGGGGAGGCGGAGGCGCAGGAGGACCTTGGGTGGTGCTCGCTGTTGGGGCGATTCAGTGCTTCGCCGGTTATTTTCTCATTTGGGCTTCCGTCACCGGACTGATCAGAAAGCCTCCGGTGCCGTTGATGTGCCTCTTTATGTTTCTAGCTGCGCAATCGCAAACGTTTTTTAATACGGCCAACGTCGTTAGTGCCGTAGAGAATTTCGCCGATTATGGTGGTACCGCCGTTGGAATCATGAAGGTGACTCTTTGTACTGTACCCTTTCGATCTCTAGCAGTCTAGAGTGGTTCATGCGTCAGAGATCAGTATTTGACTATGATCCTGGTAGATTACTTGAATTTCAAAAATGGGGACGACACTTTGATTAGAGTTGGAAAAGGAAGATCCTTTTGAAATTGAATGTGTGAGTAATCGAGGTTTGAGTCATGGATAAGAGATTCGAAATTGGGTAATTGTATGAGAAGTGTAGGAATTGCTGCTTATCTGATTTTTGTCTGTTTCTTTTGTTCTTTTCTGGTTCACCTTGGCACCTTGCAAATGAGGAGGCAACCTCCGTTTTGGAAAGCAGAAACTTTCACTAGAATCCAATTTGGTTCGGGATATCGAAACTAGGAGATTGCAGTGTGCAGAATTGTTGGGGTTTTTTTTGTAGTCGATTCATCAGAATTAAGGTTACGTCTTGGATGTACACTGTTTAAAAAGCCATTATTTTTGTGTGTGGGTGTCTTATCTTTGGACATTTACTTTCTGGGATTGATTGAATTGCAAATGGCTATATGATGCATTTCCTAAGAGAACATCTTGCGCAAACTGGCCAATCTGTTTTCAAGATGTTTTGGCTCTGTTCATTCAGTGTTTCAGTTTGTTTATGATCATAGGGAAGTCTTTTCTTGGCAGGGTTTTCTTGGTCTAAGCGGAGCCATATTAATTCAACTGTATGAGACAGTGTGTGCTGGAGATCCGGCGAGCTTCATTCTTCTGTTGGCAGTAACACCAACACTTCTCTCCCTCTTGGTCATGCCTCTAGTCAGGATCTACGAGACAAGCACAGCCGATGATAAAAAGCATTTAAATGGTCTTTCAGCTGTATCACTTATCATTGCAGCATATCTTATGATCGTTATCATTCTGAAGAACACCATTGGTTTGTCACACTTGGCCAATGTTGTCACTCTTGTATGTCTCCTCATTCTGCTTGCATTGCCTCTACTTATTGCGAGAAGAGCACATCGAGACCGCATGGAAAAAACAGTACTACCTGATAAATCCCCTCTTATAAGTAGTCCAAAAGCAACAACCTCCGTTAACCAAAGTTCAGAAGGCGACAGGCAAATAGAAGCTGGTCTGAGTGAGAACCTAAATCTTCTGCAAGCTATGAAAAAACTAAGCTTCTGGTTGTTGTTTATTGCCATGATTTGTGGAATGGGCTCTGGACTTTCGACGATAAACAACATCCGACAAATAGGTGAGTCTCTTCGATACTCATCCGTTGAGATAAATTCATTAGTTTCCTTGTGGAGTATATGGAACTTTCTCGGTAGATTTGGAGCCGGTTATGCCTCCGATGCATTGCTACACAAAAGAGGTTGGCCACGTCCATTGCTAATGGCTGCAACACTTGGAACGATGACCATAGGCCATCTAGTCATAGCCTCTGGTTTTCAAGGAAATCTATATGTTGGTTCTGTTATCGTTGGCGTCTGTTATGGTTCACAGTGGTCATTGATGCCTACAATCACCTCTGAACTATTCGGGGTTCGTCACATGGGAACCATCTTCAACACCATATCCGTGGCCAGTCCCATCGGTTCTTATATCTTCTCTGTAAGATTGATCGGTTATATATATGACAAGACTGCTTCTGGAGAGGGGAACACATGTTACGGCCCTCGCTGCTTCAGGCTGTCTTTTGTTATAATGGCGTCTGTTGCGTTCTTTGGGTTTCTTGTCGCCATTGTACTGTTGTTTCGGACAAAGACTCTCTATCGACAGATCCTTCTCAAGAGGCTTCATCGTCGATAGAGTTCTTGTGAATACTATACATGGAAAAGAACGAATATAGCTTCTCTTGCCATTTCCAAGGTAGCTTATGAATTCCATACATGTACATCAATTACTTTACCTATAAGTTTATTGTAACTTATGTTTTTATCAAATGTCTGTGTTTAGAGATTGAGAAGGAAAGAAAGTTCAGATCTTTGTCATTTTTGGTTGTACTTTCTTCCACAAATGTGAGTTTTTCTTTTTGTGAAGTGTATAGACATCTCAGATTCCCAATAATAAATGTTGAAAATTCTTTAAATTCATAGTGTTGATAAAACAATAATTGCAGGCTATCAACTTTCTCATTCATTCATTATTCAG